TTGTAGATCGGGAACGATTGAGTTCAGCAGCTCTTCATAGTAGATACTGTTATCCTGATTGATGATTACAAGGATATCACCAACGTAGCGCGCCCAAAACTTCGGCTTGTACTCCTCGAATAGTCGCTTCTCGCGTTTCTGCAGAACCGCCTCGGCAATGAGCCCGGAGATTGGTTAACCCATCGCAGCGCCCCTACTTTGCTCATATATGATCCCTCGAAGGTATAAAATGTCTTGAGGCAGTGCCCGATGCGTTCTATGAGATCCTGAGCTGTGAGCTGGCCATCGCCCTCATTGTAATTTTGATATACCAGGTCATTGAGCTTCTCGACCGTAGGCTGCGAAAATTAGGATCTTTAGCTTTAGGAGGACTGCGTCGGCGATGAAGCCTGAGGACGGAGATCCCATTGGCCTCCCTCTCCTGTTCTCGTAAATGGTCAAGATGTCTCCGCTTCGCCCTCTCAAACAATTATCCGACCGTTTAGACTGCCAGGACATGCGGGATTGAAGAGGGAGGCGACGTCGAATGACACCACGACATCGTCTGTGGTGAGTCGCACCACCTGAGCCGTCCCGGGAACCGAGTTGCCTGTGTGATGGAGGGGAATAAGGTAATACTGGTTGTTGTTTTTAAAGGACACGTACTTGCAAAAAATGTCGGAGAGTAAGCCAGTTATCGGAGTGTCTGATAAAACGCTGGCCTTAAAAATGTATATGGAAGAAGAATGAAGGGACGTTACAAAAAGATCCTGACGGTCGCGGAAAGGGCAGGAAACTATGCTGTTACCCGACAGTGATGTCAGTGCACAGGGTCTATGTCCGATGAGTACGACATTGTCGGGTGGCACAGTGGAAAAGACATATCCCTTGTGAAAGATAGCCGTTGATTGACGGGGCAGTTTAAAGGGCCGTTGCACTCCCTCATCGTCGTCCAACAGCATAGGGCGTGTAGACTGTTCAGACAAGCGTCTTTCCGAAAAACGCCTGTACACTCGTGCGGCTATGGTAGTGGGCCCTTTTATGCTACCACGAACGTGTCGTAAAAAAGACTCAAATGGAAATGCTAAAAAATTATTCTGCACCCCAAACCGAACGAAGTCAGCGTGCGAGTGGAGTAGAGAATGGACATTGTAAACAAGATCAGATGGCTTATAAAATGTGGAAAAATTACAGACAAAATTACACAAAAGTTGGCGGCCATAATCACCACAACATATATGCAAGGTTGGGTGGCGAAATATGTACACTGCCACGGAAAACTGTAAAAAATGATTATAACGGGGTCCGTCTAAATACGGGGACAAAACAACGGGGCCTATGTACAGGAGGAATTGCCGATATTCGGCAGCCTTCCAAAACTCCAGGAAGTCAAGTGTTCTACACTTGCGCGAAAACTCTGTCGGTAAGCAGTGGCTGCATAGCTTAATAGATGCGTTTAATGACACAGAGTGGCTACCAAAACCAAGTCGCCAAGTATGCAACAATTTTCGCATAACACCGAGGCGGACTTGGTGCATGTAGTCGCTTGGGAAAAGGAAACCATGTCGATGGGCAAATCCTCGAAGGGAGATCTGCCCTTATGATGCGGTCCCCGACTTCGCAACCTAAACGACCTGTCATCACGCAGACGGCCACTGTACTGCGGGAATGTCATGCGATTCGCAATATGTTTCCCTTTGTGACAGCATCTACAGCAGTTACGATTGCAAATACCAAAATAGCGTACCTGTCGCATCCATAGTAGCCATTGTGGGCCTTCACTTGTCGTACATAACAGCGGGCTGGGGTGTGGCAAATCACATTGAGCAAATCCACTTTGATGACACTTTCTGTACGTGGATCGCGCAGGCCCGTGTTGAGAAGGCCCTTCAGTTCACTAACACAATCGCCCAGAAAGTCTTCCAACGGTTCGGGCTTACCAAAACCGCAGAACACTCCAACGACAAAGGGCTGCCCAACAACGGGGTGGTTAACACGAGCAAGGATCGGCCACAAGCACTGAACAGACCCTTTAAAGACTTTCATTCCGTCAATGTGCAGTTGAACGTGCACTTCAGGAATGCCCGTTAGTGGGCAAAGGCGCAATTCGTCGAGTAGGCCGCGTTCGAGACCCAGGTGAACGTATTTTCCTCTCTTCAAGGACTTGCTAACGCAAGTTCGGGGCGTCTGCAGTAGCATCCTTGGGTCGTTGGGTAGCTCCGGATGATAGTGCCGCAGCACCTGAAACAAATCCTTTGCCTTGGTCAACGACAATTTCGCCCTCAAACAGAATTCGCGCAAATCCGTCGTCAAGCATCTGCCTTCCACTGTGTCCACGGTCCCAGCCACTACAGGCAGTTCTATATATTCCAATAAGGCACATACAACTCCTACCCGTTGAAACTTCCGGCATTAGTTCGGGCATTTGCAATTCCGGTGACTCATTTGTAACTGAAGACCTTTATGCGATGGGTTGCTCCTCCATAGCAGCATAATATGTCCGCCTCTGGCGCAAGAGCCGCGTGTATATTAGTGCTTCGGTTAAAGCCGTAATACTTACGCTTCATAGCAACGAATAACTACTCAACGACAACAAATATTTGTACTTTCAACATTGTTCGCAAAATCATAAGTGAAATTATACTAAAACATATGTTACTACACCTTAATAAGCATAACGCATACCCTAAATGGCATAACTTGGAAAATAAAGAAGTATCAGACACAAAATGAACGTGGAATTACTTGTCAATATGTCATAAACAATCACAGGACGAGAACCGCAACGCTTATCCCAGACACATCAAAAGATCAATGGCGTCTAATTGGCCCACTTAAACAAAGCATCTTAATCAGCTGATTGCGAGACATAACCACTGCTCACAATATGAAGATTCCGGGTACTTTATGAGTTCAGTTCAGTTCAGTTCAGTTTATTGAGGGAAATAGGCATAAGCCTTTGAGTACCCTATTTGCAACGTAAAAAATGTGTGGTGTACAGATAGATGTTCTGGGCTGAAATAGTTCGAACACGCCCATAATGGTGGGACAAAATGAGAAGGAGTTACAGGGGTGAGCTCGACATCTCATCGCTCTTGGTCATTTCGGAACATAAATATGTCCAGATTCTTCTTAAAACTTTGTATAGATGGTGACGTCACAGCATCTGCGGGAAGCTCATTCCACGGTTTGACCACCCGAACCGAGAAGGAGAAGTTCCGCACATCCAGCCGTGCCTGCTGAGTGCGCAGTTTTAACGGGTGACCTCGGAGGTTGGTCGTGGTAGCAAATTCAAAAACGTCCTCGAAGGCCAGACTGCAATCCAACCCCTTTACAATGCGGAAGGCTTGCAAGAGATCTCCGCGAAGTTGCCTGTAACTCAAAGGAAAGAGGTTCAGATTTACTAGGCGGGTTGCATAAGGAAAGGAGCTTTGATCCCTGACCATCTTCGTGGCTCTCCTCTGGACTCTTTCGAGGCAGTTTTGATCCACAACAGCCCACGGCCTCCAAGCTTGTATGCCGTACTCTAAATGCGGCCGGACGAATGTTCCGAATGTCTTAGAGAAAGCTTCTTCGTCAAAGTCCATAAACGCACGCTTGATGGCGTACAATACGGACATTGCGGTTTTTGCCACCCTCGAACAGTGGGCGGATGGTTTTAGGGAACTCGTCGTCAGCACACCGAGGTCCCTTTGGGCTTCGACCTCTTGTAGGGCTGCACCGCCCAGAAAGTAGCCTCTTGTGCTGGCGGATCTGGCTGTGTTGCCTAGGCGAAGTATGCTACATTTGGCAACGTTGAACCGCAGGAGCCAACGGTTTGACCACTCCTCCAACCGATTCAGGTTCATCTGCAGTCTGTCTTCATCGGCAGGACCCCGAATTACACTCCATATCTTCATGTCATCCGCAAACATTGCTACTTCACAGTCTAAATCTCTTGCGTTATCGTCAACGTAGATAAGGAACAAAATGGGTCCCAGTACTGGACCCTGGGGGACACCAGTATGGACCATAGCCGGATCTGATTTTCCCCGACCGACGCACACAACCTGCTGTCGACCCACAAGGAAGTTTTCGATCCATTTAAGGAAGTTGCCACCGATCCCTATTTTTTTCAGCTTATGTAAGAGCCTTTGGTGTGGCACAGTGTCGAAAGCCTTCTGGAAGTCGATGAAGGCTATGTGGACCGCGTGCCTGTCGTCGAGAGCTTGGGTCCAGCTCTGGAGAGATTGCAGCAGGTTTGTCGTGCAGGATCTTCCTGCTCGGAACCCATGTTGGCATTTCGATAGCAGGCCGTGAACTTCCAGGAATTGCAGCAGATCACTCTTTATGATCTTTTCCATAACTTTGCAGAGAATGCATGTCAAGCTTATGGGCCGGTAATTTGTCGTCGCTGCCCTGTTACCTCCTTTGTGTAGCGGAGTAATATGCGCCAGCTTCCAATCGATGGGAAGTGTTCCAGTGTCAAATGACGTTTGAAAGAGCATCGACAAAGGCACAGAGAGCTCACGGGCAAGTTCCTTCAGAAGCTTGGATGGAATCTCGTCTGGTCCTGGCGACTTCGATTCGTTCAATGCCTCTAATTCTCTTCGGACAATGCCTTCTAGGAAGAGAATTTCAATGACGCTTGGAGTCGGCAGTTCTTCTGTGGAGGGAGGAAGGAACCTTGCCTCGTTTGTGTAGACTGATTGGAAAAACCGTGAAAAGTACGCAGCTTTATCCCTACTATCGGCGATCTCAACGCCATCAATAGTCTTTATCAAGGGGATTTGATGCCTGTTCCTTGTACTTCGTCGGAGGTAGCTGTAGAGCAATTTTGGGTTCTGCGTTGCTTTTTGTAGCAAGTTCTTCTCGAATACCCGCCGCGTCTGAATTATCAGCTTCCTCACTTTGTTCCTCTGTGTCTTGTAGGTGTTGAAGCATTCAGCTTGTCTAGTAACGCAGTATTTTCTCCACAATTTGTGCTTCCTGTTGATTTCTTTCTTGAGGTTGCTATTTAGCCACCCAGGGCGTTTGCTCAGTCATACACTAGTCAGTGGGCAGTGGTTGTTGATGAGCTGCAGAAGGACATTCTTGAACAGCTCCCAGTCATCTTTGGCACTTTCCGTAAACAATGAGCCCCAGTCAAGACCGGATAAGTCTGCCCTCATCTGATTGAAGTCGCCCCGCCAAACATTACGCCTTTTGTGGTCTGGAGTGTGTGAAATGGAGAATAACGAATAATCCCACATAAGCACTACGTGGTCACTTCCGCCAAGGGGCGGTAGGGAGGCGATCTCGTCTATGCTGTCTGGTGTTTTCGTAAAGACCAGATCCAGGCAGTTTGCCCTTTGTCCTTCACGTGTTCTCGTTGGGAACATTACATGTTGTGTGAGGCACGCATTTAATGTCTTGCTCAACAGGCGGTAATCGAATGCCGATTTTGGACCTGACGCTTGGAGGGTATTCCAGTTTGTTCCTGGTGCGTTGAAGTCGCCCATGATCAGGATGTTAGGTCGACTGGAAAATTTATCCAACTGCTCCAATAGTTGAGCGTCGGCGATTCGGTCTGTCCTAGGTGGTCGGTAGACAGTAAGGACATCGAGACACGGGGAACCGGTAGCCTTGATGGTCAACCAGATAGCTTCCGTACTGCACGCAAAGTTGGTGGTGTTATCCGACACTGCCAGACCGTCATTCACATACACAACGATACCACCACCCTGACGATGTTCCCTGTCCCTCCGATAAATTTGGTATCCAGGCAAGGCTACTTCGTTATCGCTAATATTCCCGGACAGCCAGGTCTCAGTTACTGCTAAAACATCTGGAGACAGCTCAACAAGGCAAAGTTTTAGTTCGTCTAGTTTCGATATGAGGCTTTGGGCATTCGTGTACAAGCACCTCAGTTTAGCACCAGCCGAATTTCCCGTTGCATTTGTTACTGCTGTGAGCATTACTCCGTTATCGCGGACGTCGTGTTCTCTAGGCTCTTCCGTTACCTGATTGGTTCCATTTACATGCCTTGTTTCAGTCAGATCACTGGACGCTACGGGCTCACTTGTGTTGGCGCCTTGATCAGGTGGTTCAACGAAGGTGTCTGTTTTAGCTGATAAGCTGTCGTCATTCGTAGTATTACAGGCTGGTTCCGCTGAAACGGCATATATTTCCGAACTACCTTCCCCTTGAAGATAGCCAGATTGTGTTCGCCATCCTTCAGTCTTGATTTTAACTCCAAGACAAGTTCCCGGCATTTCAACCGTTCCGCTGGTGAATAGTCCGGTTGAAAAAAAACCTGTTTGTGTGTTTTTCTGAGATCGGTTTTTTTAGAGAGGATAAACTTGATTTGCTCTTTGCTCTCCAGCATAATTTGGAGAGGGCGAGGTGGTTGTGCTACTGTCCTGTCTTCACTCCTTTTTCCTATCCGGAATGCTTTCAGAACCTTTATTTCCATGTCTGCCGGCAGTAAATGACTTAGCAGACCATGAAAAGAAGCAAGGTCCTCTGAGACACGGTCTTCAGGTCTGACTGCATTCGATTCTGACAAACCCTGAATAACCAGACACTGCTGGCGAGCATGGTCCTCCTTACTCCGTCTTTCCGGTGAATGCGCTGCATGTAGGCGAGGACGATTTACGGAGTCATCGCTTGGACGCACACTTTTACTGTCTACCGACTGTCCCGAGCAACCCATCACGGCTGGCTGGGACTTCAGACGCCTGTCATGGCGTTTCCCTCTCCCCTCTACCCACTGGTTTATGTCTTCACATTCAGATACGTGCTCTGTAGTGCGCTCGGGGTGGTTGCCAGAACAAGAGGGCAAGAGTAGACTGGATGACCCAGGTATATCGTCTCCAGGCAGAACAGAAATCCCATCACTTACAGCAAGAGGCTTAGGTGACATGGATTCCGCGATAGGTAATTTTTTTGCGACATCGCTTAAGACATCGTGCGTGGGAATCGAGTCTCTCTTTATCGGCGGCTTCGTTTTCATTGTCCTGCTGTTACCAGCGTCTGCGGTTTTGGCTGTTGAGTTGCTACTCGTGTTTGAAGATTCCCCCGAGGAGATATTTTTTCGCGTTTTTTGCGTTTTGCTCTTCGTTTTTGGGATTCTAACACTGGACACGTTCTGGCCGACTACGGTCTGTTTCACGAGCGTCCTTAAATCTGCAAGCTCCTTTTCCAGTTGTTCTACTTTGATTTGAATATCTGCGCACCCAGCACAAGGCTCGTCTTTGTACCTCACACTTTTTGCGGTATTTACGCTTTTTGCACGCTTTGCTGGTCGTTGGCTGGAGGCGAAGGTAGAGCGAACACAGGCTCTGGATGCGAAGGACAACTCACCGGACTTATCTTCCAAAGAGGTGCCGTCGCTGGCCGTACTACTACAGTTAGCCTGTTGAGAATCCATAAACTTCGACGTGATATAATAGGTATAATTCCGCTTTCGACGTTATAACGAATACGTCGGCTTATATATGATGAATTAAAGTGAGTATTCAAAACTCAATAAGCGAAAAAATCCTTAAAATTCGATAAATTTTGTTGAATTTAATCAGAAGCGACTTAGCCCTTTCCAGATCTCGTGGGACTTGAATAACTGCAGACCTTGAAGGATTTTGAGCGATTGGTTTTCTAGGCTGTGTACCGTGAATCGGTTGCGTAGCCAGTTGAGTTGTCAGTTGGACCGCGCCGATAAACAAATTGCACTTAATCCAGGTTCCAGGCGAATTTCGATGCGTGAAAAAATATTCCAAAAATGCACAAAGTTAGTCTGTACGTACGGTTCCAGTATCAATGTCAGAGACTAACTGTGGAATGGTATCCAAGTCGAAATTGTCCCAGTTGGAGCGCAGAATAATTCCGTCGTGCTCAGTTTGGCTCAGTAACCGTTGAAGACGGCTCAGTAACTGTGTGGTAGGAACGTAAAGGACGAATGTAGTAAAGAAGTTTACGAACTTTAATAAATAGGGTCTCAATATGGAGGGAAAAAGAAAGATTTGAGGACAAAGTAACGCCGAGATACCTGAAAGAGGATACTTCGTTAGGAAGAATGTCAGAGGAATCAGGATTAGGAGTGGGCCGCAGTCGAAAAATACACTGAACGGATTTTTGGTTGTTAATTAGGAGACCATTTTCCTCCGACCACGCTAGGACATGGTTTGATGTTAGCCAAGGCGACCACTTCAGTACCGTCCCAATTGAAACGGTGATCACAATCAAGACCGTGTGCAAACACGAGAGACAAGGGGTCGCGTCGGCGGTTAGCTAGCTTATATTCATTAATAAGAGTTCCAAGTTGTCGACTCGTGTGACCAGTTTAGACTCAACGGCAGTTAGCGCGCGGAATATGGTAAATGACATTGCTTTGCTGTTCTTTGTGTAAGGGATCCTTTGCCCGGGATAATGCTGCGCGTAAGGAGGACGCCGGTTTGTGGGCAATGCAGATGCCAAACCGGTTTAGTTGTCGGGTAATCGTTTCGGGAATTCCTCGCATGTAGGGCAAAGAATAATATTTCCACTGGGCCACTTCTCCAATTCAACTCCGATCTTGTGGTCGCCTCTGCCTTCTGAGACAGTTTTTTTTACCAAGCTAATCGGATATCCGTTAGATCGGAATAATTGGTATAAGTAGGCTAGTTCTCTCTTGAGTAGATATTTTGTCTGACACTAAAAAGTAATGTCCTGGCCACTTACCACCATGTGCTGTGCTTAATAATTCCTAAAATCATTAATTTGATTATTTTCTGGAGTCCATGTACAAAAAACCGGGTAGAAAACGCTTGGGGACCGAATGAGGAGCTGAACCGCTCGCTGCTGCGCCATGCGGCAGCAGAAACATCGGGGAAACAAGTGTCTGGCTATTTAGCTTGTCGCTATGTCTGGAGTACGGTATATCATCTTTGCCACAAAGATTCGGGGTCCAGATTTCTTATCGCGTTCATCGCCCTCGGAAGAAGACGAAGAAGAGAGGGCGAGAGAGAGAAAGAGATGGGAATTCGCTCTATTTTCAAATCATAAGTTCAAATTTTCCAGCAAAAAATGGCTCCATTCACTATGGGCAGTAAATAAGCTAATATATTACTCCAGAGTCAAAAAGTTTAATACAAAAGGAACGATTATAATGAGGACAGTTCAAGTTCAAGCTTCTGTATCTCTATCTCTTCACACGTTACATTACAGAAGCTCGAAAAGCCGATGTGCGACAAGATATAAGTAGGAAACCGCGGCGCATCGGGCTGGAAGACTTCGCAGAAATAAAATCAGAATGCAAGAGATGGTAAACGTCATCTATAATCCGACCGAAACATTGCTTGGCCGTACTTTAGTGTCGTTATAGGATAGTATCGACTTAAAAAGATAAGAAACACAAGCGGCAGAAGAAAGCATTCGGAGGACTTGTTTTAAAATTGTGTTTCACGTGTTTTCGTAAAAATCAGATCCAGGCAGTTTGCCCTTTGTCCTTCAAGTGTTCTCGTTGGGAACATTACATGGTGTGTGAGGGATGCCTTTAATGTTTTGTTCAGCAGATGGTAATCGAATGCCGATTTTGGACCTGACGCTTGGAAGGTGTTCCAGTTTGTTCCTGGTGCGTTGAAGTCGCCAGTGATCATGATGTTCGGTCGACTGGCAATTTTCTACAACTGCTCCGATAGTTGAGTGTCGGCGATTTGGTCTGCCCTAGGTGGTCGGTAGACAGTGAGGACATCCAGACTAGGGGAATCAGTAGCCTTGATGGTTAACCGAATAGCTTCCGTGCCGCACGCAAACTTGGCGGTGTTTTCCGACACTGCCAGGCCTTCATTCACGTAAACAACTATACCAGCACCCGGACGATGTTCCCTGTCACTCTGATAAATTTGGTATCGAAGCAATGCTATTTCGTTATCGCTTATATTCCCAGACAGTCAGGTCTCGGTTACTGCTAAAGCATCTGGAGACAGCTCGGCAAGGCAATGATTTAGCTCGTCTAGTTTCGATATGAGGCATTGGGCATTTGTGCACAAGCACCTCAGTTTTGCACCAGCCGAATTTCCGGTTGCAGTTGTCCCTGTTTTGAGTATTTCTCCGTTATCTCGGACGCCATTTTCTCAAGGCTCTTCCGTTACCTGATGGGTTCCATTAATGTACGTTGCTTCAGTCAGAACACAGAACGTTAAGGGCTTGCTTGTGTTGTCGCCTCGAACGGCTGTTTCCCCGAATGTATCTGTGTTAGCTGAGTAGCTGCCGTCGTTCTAAGTATTACTGGCTGGTTCCACTGAAATGGCATATTTTTCCGAACTATTTTCCCCTTGAAGATAGCCAGATTGTTTTCGCCCCACTTCAGTCTCGATTTTCTCTCCTAGGCGAGTTCCCGTCGTTTCAGCGGTTCCGCTGGTGAGTAGCCCGGTTGAAAATAACCTGTTTGTGCGTGTTTCTGAGGTCCGTATTTTTTGAGAGGATCAACTTGATTTGCTCTTTGTTCTCCAGCATAATTTTGAGTGGGCGAGGTTGTAGTGCCACTGCCCTGTCTTTACTCTTTTTTCCTATCCGGAATGCTTTCAGAATTTTTATATACATGTCTACTTGGAATAATTCATGTTGACCCAACTGTGAAAAACTCGGCGCCTCGGTGGGATTCGAACCCACGCAGTAGGTTGGGCGGGTAACTTGACCCAAATGTGATTAAACTCGCGTCGTCCGACGGGGCCTCGTATCTCAGGTGGTTAGAGCGTTGGCTGCGCTAAAGCCTTCCCCTTACTGCGTGGATTCGAATCCCACCGAGGCGCAGAGTTTTTCACAGTTGAGTCAACATGAATTATTCAATATCTGCCAAAATATCAATGAACTACTTGGAATAATTGGTTTAGTTGACCATTAAAAGAAGCAAGGTCCTCTGAGACACGGTCTTCAGGTCTGACTGCATTTGATTCCGACAAACCCTGAATAACCACATACTGCTGGCGCTCACGGTTCTCCTTGCTTTTTCTTTCTGGTGAATTCTCTCCATGTGGGCGAGGACGATTTATGGAGTCGTCGCTTGGACACACAATATTGCTGTCGACCGACTGTCCCGAGCAACCCTTCAGGGCTGGTTGTGACTTCGGACTCCTGTTATGGCGTTTCCCTCGCCTCCCTACCCACGGGTTCATGTCTTCGCATTCAAATACGTGCTGTGTCGGGCACTCAGGGTGGTTGCGAGAACAAGAGGGCAACAGTATCCTGGATGGCCTAGTTATATAGTCTCTAGGCAAAGGATAAATCCCGTCACTTTCAGCAAGAGGAGTAGGCGAGATGGCTTCCGCGCTAGGTATTTTTTTTGTGACATCGCTTAAGTCATCTTGCGTGGAAATCGAGTCTGCTCCTATCGGCGGCTTCGTTTCCGTTCTCCTGTTGTAACCAGCATCTGCGGTTGTAGCTACTAAGTTCCAACGAATGTTTGGAGATGCACCCGAGGAGATATTTTTTCGAGTTTTTTGGCGTTTTGCTCTTCGTTTTTTTGGACCGTAACACTGGAGACGTTCTGGTCATCGAGGTTCTGTTTCCTGAACGCTTTTAAATCAGCAAGCTCCTTTTCGAGTTGCTCTACTTTGATTTGGATATATGCGCACCCATCACAAGTCTCTTATTCGTACCACACACTTTTCGCGGTAATTACGCTTTTGGCATGCTTTGCTGGTCGTTGGCTGGAAGCACAGGTAGAGCGAGAGCAGATTCTGGATGCGCAGGACATCTCAGCAGACTTAGCTTCGAACGAGGAACCGTCGCTGGCCGTACTATTACAGTTAGATTGCTGAGACTCCATAAACTTCGACATGATGTAAAAGGTGTAATTTCGTTTTTGATGTTATAACGAATACGTCGGATTGGATAGGACAAATTGGAGTGAGTATTCAAAACTCGGTGAGCGAAAAAATACTTAACATCTGATAACTTTTATGAAATTTAATCAGAAAGCACTTAGGCCGTCGCAGATCTCGTGGGACTTGAATAACTGCAGACATTGAAGGATTTCGATGGATTGTTTTTTTCTAGGCTGTAAATAAGCCCGAGTTGGTCGCATAGTCAGTGGAACCGTACTGATAAACAAACTGCACTTATTTCAGTTTCCTGGCGAATTTCGATGCGGGAAAAAATATTCCAAAAATGCACGAAGCAATTCTGTACGTACGGTTCCAGTACCAATGTCAGAGACGGTAAATGTGAAGTGGTAGCCAAGTCGAAGTAGTCCCAATTGGAGCCCAGAATAGTGTCGTTGTGCTCAGTCGGGCTTCGAGGGTTGATGCTGGTTGTGCAAACACGAGTGACAAGGGGTCACGTCTGCGGATGGCCAGTTCAGGTTCGTTAATACGCGTCCTAAGTCGTTGGCCTGCAAGACTAACAATAGCGCAGGAGAAGTTAGGACACGGAATTGCGATAGATAACATTAGTTTGCTCTCTCAGGGTATGGGGTCTTTTACGTGGGATAATGTAGCGCGCAGGGAGGACGCCGGCTTGTGGGAAATGGAGCTGCCAAACTGGTTTTACTGTCGGACGTTCGCTTCGGAAATTCCCTTCACGTGTAGGGTATAGAGTAGAATTTCCTCAGTTCTGGTCCATCATTAGAACCAACGCCTTGTAGATTTCTTTGATGTTTGAGGCGGTTTTTTACAAAGCCGACAGGGTATTAGTTGGGCCGGAATATCTGATACAAGAAAGCGAGTTCTTGTTTAAGTAGATAATCGCTGCTGTATTAACAAAAGACTTGATGAAAAAGGGAACGGACGCAGCTCCTTTTATTGGCCGCAGTATGATTTCCTTCATATTTAAGGATGACATCAGTATTAGAGCCTTTTTCGGTTGACGTTCATTGCGAGGTCGCCAACGTTGAAACAAGGGGATGCCCTCTGTTGCGTCTTTGCGAGCACACTGGATAGCTGGCAAAACACTATTCAGACTATTATGCAACTGCTCAACTGTGCAGTTCTTTAGAATAAAAAATGCATCACCTACGTATCGAAGTCATATTTTTGGCCCAAAAGCTCGCATAACATTCTCTTATAATTGTTGTTATACCAGTCCTGCGAGTAGACCCGATATCGGTGAGCCCATTGGGGTGTCCTTAACCTGCTAATAAAAATTTCCATCGAATTGACAGTGATTCTTGATACAGAGTCCAAGCATTTCTGAAACGCGCTGCATTGCATACGTCGAGTTACACTCTCAATTGCCAGGTCATGTGGCAGTAAGGAAAATGGGGCAACCACATCAAACGATGGGATGCACTCATCGGGACTTCCTTTTAGGATCCTGTGGAGGAAGGCCTACAAGTTTGTGATGCTGTATCCTGATCCACCAATGGGATGCTTCAGGTGCCTGTGCAACCATTTGGTGAAGTTGCAAGTGGACGATCCAATGAGTGGCACTATGATCCTCAAAGCGCATCTGCTTTGTGCGCCTTTGGGAGGCCATACGCACATGCAATGCGGGTGTTACCGATAGTCATAAATCTGGAGTCATGGGGGATTGTGAGTTTCAATTGAGTGAGCTCATTCACCTTCTTCATTACAGCAGCGGCCTGCATTTTATTTGGATTCTCAGCGAGTGGTGTGTAGGCTCTCCCGTCGCTGAGGACATGGTTAGCCATGCTGACGTAATCAGTTTTTTCCATGGTGATAGATGCGCCGCCATCTGAGTTATCTGACTTTGGAGACTGTAACCCCTTGTCTTTACCGATGGGAAAGACTTGGCGGTGGTGGTTCTATTGTCTCCCAACGCCTCCAACATCGACGCACTGACTTCGGCCACCAATGCCCCATCGACGATCGCCAATACCACCGTCTGCATTTGCATTCAATCGCCAGCCGCCTTCCCCCAACAGTTCTCCTCCCCCTTTCTCTAACCCAAAACCTTGCCGTAGTTATGTGCTCACCCCTCTCTCATATACCAGTTGCCTGTCTGTCAGTGTCTGTCCTGTTGGACCATTCGGTCTAGTCTGTCCCTTTCTCTTTCTCATCTGTTCATTTCCTTTGATAACGGGTTGTAGACGCCAGCTTGAAAATTCATAGTACAATTTTATTTTTTTCCTACGAGCCTTCTCTGTTTCTTATATATGTTAATATCAGAAGAAAATGCGATCTTGGGAACCATAGTTTATTGGTCTGACGTTTAAGAATCTCACGAGCTTCCGTTGTTGGAGGTGAGTATCGTATTAAATCTCATGTTAATTATATGGGTTTGACTTAACAGTGTGCCCTGGGGAGTGGTAAGAGACTGTGGCACTCATTGTCCGCATACTTACAGGAGCAATTTTTGTAGTCGTCGGGGTGGAGGGGGAAGAGGGTGACTACTGTTAATTGGGGCCGGCGTTTGAACGTTGGCGGCCATCACACGCATTCGCATTGACCTTATCTGATGCCCTGAGTTGCTAATTTGCAATAACGTTTGGCCTACACCTTCACGCCTGTTATTTCGTTCGTTGAGCTGCGTGCAGAGGCTTGCTAGGCTTTCGGAAGGGCGACACCGGTTAATTGAGGTAGTCTCAGTGTTCTGGGCCTCATTGGTTTCCCTGACTACGTAGTCATTTCCTCGATCAAGGATTTCGGCAAACGTGTGCTAAGAGCCTGCAGAGTGTCTCGCTACCGGAGACAATTGGTCCGTTCTCGTCACTGTCCGCATGTGTTCTTTAAGTTGGATCTGTAATCATTTGCCGGTGCCTCCAATGCAATTGACTTCTCAGGACTTAGACTGGACTAGAACGATGTAGTTTGTTGCTCCACCTCTTGGCAGGGCGCCTTCGGTCTCATGATTAGAAATCAACTGGCTGAGTCCAGTCGATTGGCGATATCTATCCCAGTTAGCGTCGGCCAGCCAATCAGAGAAAATGCCTCAGAGACGCCGTCAATGTATGGCAGCGCACGCCAGACTTTTGACAGCTCTGTCACGGGACTTTGGCTAGGGTTGTACAGGGCATCCGTTTGCTACGAGAAGGCCCCAAACGTAGTGGAGTCGACGAGAGCGGTGTGTCCGGCAAAACAAAAGTTCGTCGACGTTACTAGCCTGTGTGCGCCTTTTGTTTTGTCCCAGTTAGCGTCCGCCAGCCAATCAGAGAAGGGGCGGCGTTAATTGGCTTCGCGCTCTCGCGAGACTAGTGATACTACTCGCGCGGTCCCAACAGCGAAGCGACAAGGAGTGTGAAGCGGACAGAAGCGTAGACAGACGAAGGGGCGGAGAAAAAGGAATCGCGGACTGCCACAGTACCCCCTGTCTAGACCATATGCGGTGAGGAGCGACGTCGGAGGAACCGTTCATGTGTAAAAAACGAGTAATCAAACGGTCAGGGAAATGAGTATGCCGTCCACTACGGGCGTTACATACAGGGAGCACAGGGGAAGGGTGGGTATATCTTGCAGCTAGAGTGTTGGAGGTTGGTGAGTTGGTAATTGCAGTTGGATGTAGTGAACATGGGGAAGAAAGAGTAAACTGCAAGGAGGGTTAGAGGGATAGGGAGGTGGGACAGGAGACAGGGGACCACAGTGTGCGTCCGTAGGAGTACTCCGGACTGCTGCTTTCAGGCTGTCCAACCCACGACCTCGCGAGTTCAGCGCATGATGCGGAAGTTCTTCGTCCAACGAGAGATAACCCAGTAGAGGCCGTCTTAGGGTGGTTCAACTGCCGACGGACTAGACCGCATTGGAGGTAGACGTGAGAGCATGTCGCTTTGTCTTACCCGAAATAGGATTTAGAGATTGATGGCCTGGGCGGAACCGGGGGAGGTGTCCGCGTGAATTGTCTGAGACGGTGCAGGATGTTGGCAGGATCCTCGACTGCAACTCGCGGGGTTGGCGAGATCATCTCACTGAGAAGTCGGTCAGTGACGCCGAAAACCAGTTCAGCGATGGAGCAGTCAAGATCCAACTTGCGAGATGAGCTGATGCCCAACAGGCTCAGGGTGAGGTGGTCCGTCCAGCTATCTGGATCGTCTGCGGCGCGTAGGGAGGCCTTCAGCTGGCGGTGGAACTGCTTAACCCTCTCGTTGGCGTCCGGATGAGTAACTGTAGTGTGGACGCTAGTAGAGCCTAAACACGAGAGTAGAGAATGGAATAAATGAGACTTGGATTAGCCATCACGGTCAGTCGTGATAGTCCACGGGCACCAAAAATGAAAACCCAAGGACTGAGGAAGGCCCTGACGAGTGTTGACGAGCGACATCAGGCAGAGGGATAGCTTTGGGCCACTGGGTGAGTCGGTCCACGCACGTAAGGAGATAGGAACGGCCACCGAACAACGGCAGGCGGCCTACGTTGTCCAGATATACATGATTTAACCGTTAATCCGGAGTGGGGAAGGTTTCGATGGGAGTTTTGCTGTGCCGTTGGACCTTACCCTGATGACAGTCGAGAAACGCACATGTCCATGCTTTCAGGTCCGTGTGCATCCCAGGCCAGATAATGCGGTCGGAAACCAGTTTGTCGGTAGCTCGACTCCCAGGCTGCGATAGGTTCTAAAGGGAGAAGAAGACATTTAGGCGGAGGGATGGCGGCACAAATGAACGGTGGGAAGTGGTGGAGACGTCCATTGAATTGTACCATTGCCAGTGGTCAGTGGCAATTCCTGGATTTGGGGTCCGTAAAATTCCTAGTCACAGGGAGAACCAACACGACGTTGTTCAGCGGCCATTTCAGCTAGGTCGATGCTGGGAGAACCTTGGAGATGTGCGATGGAGGGCACGGGAAGTGCGTCAGCCACCTCATTGCGACCTGGGACCATAACAACTACGATCATCAAGCCCATGTCCGAACAGGAAGAGAAGAAGTGGGACGACAGTTTGGAGGGTGATGTATTCTATACAGAACAAATAGAGCAGAGGTTGATAAGAGTCGGCAGTCGAGCGATGGCACGTCCGACGCCGCCATAGCGTTGCCTGCGATTGTTAGACAATGGGGCAGCCGTCCGACGACTTCAGCGGAGGTCATGTCTGAGTCAACCTCGAAGGTGATTGGCCAGTTTGGACAGCGGCGGCATTGGCCGAGAATCAGACTGCCATTTGTGCGCACGTACAAGTAATCGCGAGAGCTTATGAGTTGGGCCACGGCATGCATACTGCGGTGCGCCCTCCCCAAACTCGCTCGGGAACGCCTGGGTAGCGCCAACTCGAACAGACGTCATTTTTAGGTTCTCAGGCCTGCCTGCTGTTTTGCGGCTGATTGCGTATTACGAATGTCTGGGGAACGGCATTGAACGTAATGTAGCAGCCAACCACGCACAGCAGGAGGCCGGGGTCGGGTTGTGTTCAATAAAATGAGCTACAGTAGACATCAGAATTCATGACGCATTGACCGGAGTCTTTACGTCTGTTTTTATAAAGGGGCAGTAAATCAAATCCCGTTGCAATACTCTTAAACATAAGTTTTACAAAAAGCTACGGCGGCGGTTGTTGACTTAAAGTACATTTTCCAAAGACTCATTCAAGAAATTGAAGAACTGGCATTTATGTCTGCGCGATACAAAATAACTAAATTCTCATCCAAGGGGAAGCACCAGCTGGGTAATATGTGGTCATGTAGCCACACCCGATGAACGCAATACTGTTACTGGTAATGGTTGGGGTTAGGGATCAGGATTAGGGGTTGGGGATTAGTGAGAAAGAGAGGGGGAGGGAGAGAGAGAGTAATTTGCCTTATTTAAAAATTATAAATTTAAAACGTTCAGCAAAAAATCGGCTCCATTCATTATGGTGGAGCTAAAAGATTATTCCTGAATCAAAAAGTTTAACACAAATGGAACGATTATTAAAGGGACAGATTAAGTCTTAGCCTCTGTATTTCTATCTCTTCACACGTAAGATAGCGCGCCAAGAATGGCAATACAGGCAGAATGGCATTACCAACAAAGACAAGGCAGAGGGCAATGGCCATTTCTGGCTTATTAGCCGTCGTCAGCCAGTCATACCCAACCCCGAATTGTGCAACATCTGGGGCTCGAACTCGCCACCTGTTAGTTATAAATTCAACTCCTCTAACCACTGGGCCACGCCCCCGATGTACGACGTCGAAAGCCATGGCACATGGGGCAGGAAGACTTCGCAGAGATTAGTTCATAATATGGGGGATGGGCAACGTCATCTAGAATTCGACCAGCAAATTTCGTTGTAGGATAATGTCGACGAAAGGAGATAAGAAACACCAGCGGCAGAAAAGAGCATTCGGAGGACTCGTTTTAAGATTAACAGATATTTTTTGAGCAAAGCAGGAAAAATGACAGAGGGACCATATAGGATAAGAGGAAGAAGGCAGGCATCGATGAGTGGCCAGACTAAGGGCTGAGGTGTGTGGTAGGAACGGAAGCGACGAATGTAATAAAGAAGCTTACGAACTTTAATGAAAAGGGACTCAATATGGAGGGAAAATGAAAGATTTGATGACAAAGTAACGCCAAGGTACCTAAAAGAGGATATCTCGTTAGGAAGGATGTCAAACGAGTCAGGACTAGGAGAGGGCCGCAGTCGGAAAATACACTGAACTGATTTTTGGTTGTTCATGAGGAGACCATTTTCCTCCGACCATACTAGGACATGGTTTAGGCCACCCTTTAGAGACTGGGGGTGTGTCTGACGCTTGAGAGGGTGTCCAACAACCACATTAGGGGTAAGAGTTAGGGGTTAGGGCAACTATTTATTAACCACTCAAAGTTCAACCGCACACTCCCAATAGCTTTTTTCATACAACTACTTGGCCTCGTCGTCTTTGCCTTCCCCGGCCCCACCCGTAAAAACCCCTATTACCTCTGGTCCCGTATTGCAGGCGGTTGGGTTTTATTTACTTCAAGTGGGGCTATATAACTACATCTGACCACCAGCAGTTCTATGGGAAGTTGCAGCTGTGTTTTATTAAGCTAAAGCGCGTGCATATTGATTGTTTCTTATACGATGATAGTCCTTCGCACGAAGGCATTATTATATGACTCGGAGAAAGCTTGCTTTACCATTCTTCGAGTACTTTATTTCGCTTGGAAGGGCATGTTACGGTTTAGTCAGTAGGCGATTTCCCATATCTGAAAATACACGTATGCGGGTGTACATGGTAGAAAATCCATCGATCCAAAGGTTGATCTTTCTCATTAGACGCCGCCTTCTTAGCAACAGTTGTCAGCAGTTTGAATCTCAGTCCGAGCCAGTACCTTGGCCTAAAGAAGAAAGCGCTCAAGTCCTCGGCGTCTAGTAAATCTTCGCATTTGCTGCGAATTTGAATTTGTAGCTCTGGTATAATCAGCAGAGGACAGCAAATGCACGTTGTGGATACGTTTCTGCCTCTCACATGTCGATCCGCACTTTCGGATGCCTTGAATTTGGAAGCAAACTCGCGCATTGCGTCAGTCAATTAGAACCTGTTTACTCAAGCCTTTGTCTTTACCGAGAAAATAATTCCCCATTGCCAAATAATTACTGTTGATCTATACATTTCACTTGTTGTTCCTTTCTTGAAGAAAGAAGGCTCCATTAGATGTGTCGCTGGCCAAGTATGCATGATGGTTGCTGTTACAGAATGCACTTCGGGATAATTCACATACCAAAATATGCCGGTCTTATTCTGAGAATCGCCTCAGATACCACCTGTTGGTCTCAGTATGCCGTAAACGACCTCTTAAGTAGTATTTGTTCTTTGGTTCGAATTTGAAGACTGGGCGGAGTCATTTATTTCCTCTAACTCTCCTTCATGGAATTGGTAGAAGGTTGCATCCTCCGAAAAATTATTCTCTGAATGTACGGAACATATCGGCCAACAAAACAATCGACATCCCGAACTTCTAAGGGACCTTTTGCATCATCTGAAATCTCCCGAATCCCTTTGATGTGTGCGCTCTCTGAAGACTGCTGCATACTTATAGTAATGGTTACAGTCAGGTGCGTACATCAATCTACCCGGCCTCCATTTCTGTCTAATCGTTGAACCTCGAGTACCGTGTCCTCGCATTCAATAATCGACTTAACTTACCGTGTCGGTAAGGTTTTTCAGGCAAATTTACATTTCTACTCATTTTCATTTAAGGACAAATCATGTCTTGCATTATAGGTACTCCATAGTGCTCCTATGGAGAATCCCCGAACAGGGTTATAGGGTTGCCTTCTTGTGTCCCTAAATACAGCAATCCTTCAGATAGTACATTTGATAAGACACGAAATTAGAAACGCCATCACTTCTCCGTTACTGCCTGCTAGTCGCCGTGCAACCGTCTGCTCCAGAGCAAAGCGGATGTACTCACTTCCCCGTCTGGCAATCAAGATAACTTGGTGCAGTCCATTGCAAACAGGTTCAGGGAACCCCAATGATCTCGCCAATATCATGACTAATTACCCTACCTGTATAACAGGGACTAGAATAAGAGGTTATTCATACCCTAAAGCCCAAAATATGGCATCGCTACGTAAAAGACACCTTTATCGCCATAAAGAACCGCGAAGGCGACCGACCTCATCAGTGACTGAATACTGTCTTCGCGGCCATAAAGTTTACACACGAAGAGGCAGTAGAAGACAGCCTACCGGTTCTGGATATGAAAAGACAAAGACTGGGCGATGGTAATATCGCAGCGAGTGTTTATAGGAAAGGATCGAATGCTGAGATCATCCCCAATCGCGGGAGTAATCAGCCTGCCGCTCATAAAAGAACCCTCTTCCCCCAGGCCTATCGCTGCTGTAGCAGTGACGATCTCCTGGGGCAAGAGGCAGTCTGCATTCATCGGTTGTTTCGGTCTAACGGATATCCGAGCAGTTTTGGGGAAGGGTCAATTAGGCTGTCCTGTTTCCAAGTGTCAGCACAATGTGGTCATTGAAAGTAAAGAAAGCCGAAGGGAGGTGCTGCAATCGCTAGTGGGGAAAGTAGTCGAGGCTGGAACGGAAAAGGCAGCCTGATGTATGGCAAATCTGCCGCGAGAATCTCCGCGACAGACTCGGCTGACTGGACACGCGGGACAGCGAAACCGCAAACCCGACGGTAAACCTAATCGCAACTTCGAAAGAAAACCTTATCTTTCACGTAATTCTTACCTAAACGCTAACCGTGAACTTAGCATTAAACCTTAACCTACCACAAACCCTAGCCCTAAACCTAAGCCTAACCCTGACCCAAATCCTAACTTTGGCCATAACCCTACCCTAGCCCAAACATTAACATTACACCTAAACCTAAACCGCAGTCCGAAACCTTACTCTAAGCAGAACCATTAAATTTAACACAAATCCCTACCCTAAAGACAATTCTCAGCCAGTCACTAACCCAAATCCAGAAACTAACCCTACCTCTAAGCCGAAACATCAGGTTTCCCTTTTCCGTCTTAACTTTGGCTACTTTCCCACTAACGATGTCAGCATCCTCCTTCGGATTTCTTTACTTGTAATGCCCACATTGCACTTACACTTGGGACCAGGACAGCGTAACCGACGCGTATGCAGACAGAGCTCCCACCCCAAACGGAGGAATCGTGGCGCAGAAATTCTTCTCCCTGCCCTTCAGTGAACCTCCGAAGTGATCGAGCAACAGCTAAATCGGTTCGGCATCGACAATGGCCACAAACCATCATACTCGCTGCGTGCGGAATTATGTCGAATAAACGAACCTATCCCCAAAGAACAGCAGACAGATGTGATCTATCGCATCCCATGGGTTAATTTTTTTCAGCGTGAACGTTTGTCATTTGGATCGACGCCTGGGGAACCATATTGATGGCCAAAAACGACCTGCCCGTCGCCTTGACCCATTGTCCCTCCTCCTTACACACTCACGCCAGCGCGACCACCGATTTAATTGGGATGACACTGAGGCCGTCACCATGGCCAACACAAAACGGGCGAGAGAATGCATTGAGGCCCACCGACACTCCAATGCGGGCAGCATCAACCGCCATGTTGACCCCGACGCCATTATGAAGGCCCGCCACTATGAGAGCTCACTGGGCCCTGCCCCCATGCCACATCAGTGACTGCTGATCCAGCCAACCGCAGCCCCACCATCCTCCCTCACCCCCCTACCCTGGGGGCCGTAATTGCTCTGCCTCCCTCTCCTCTCTCCCCCCCGCTCAGGAACCTATCACGACCCTTTGCCCACCTCACCCCTCTCGCACACTAGTGGTCCGCCTGTCAATGTCTGTCCTGTCTCGCCCACTGGTCCCAGTCTCAAATCCCCCCAGTTCATTTCGTCTGACAAAGGGGTTGGTGTCACCACCTTGGAGATTCGCGAGTGTAACTCCACTTTTCCGAATAATGTCTCCCGTTTTTCATTGTGTCGGTCCGGAATGCAGTCCACCTCTGGTCTGCAAAGAAAATTTCGACGTCAAGCACCTATTCTTACCAGACGTTGGGAGAAATTTGTGCAGAGACAGGCGAAGACCTTCGAACAACTGACCTTCCTCCATCGCTGTCACCATCACGGCGTGCTACCGAAATCTCGTCGTTTCAAATCGATGTTGCCGAATGAGTCTGGGAGATTTCTTGCGTTCAAATCGTTCAAATCATTTACTTTGACTTCAGCAAGGCGTTCGATTGCGTCCCACATAAGCGCCTCATTCAAAAGTTATCAGAAGTAGGGATAAGAGGAAATCTTCTCACAGAGGGTCATTCGCCAATGGAACTCTTTGCCGGAGTTTGTTGTTGATTCCCCTACCGTGAACGTGTTCAAGAGACAACTGGATACTCACCTGCTGAAAGGCAACCCAAACTGCCGAAGCCTGATCTAACGGATTATTGAAATGACTATAAATATACTACTCACAGGATTTCAACAGATCCTATTTTTGCGTCAAACTTAGCCCATATTGAAATTTTCACAGTCCGAATGTGGTGAACAAAGTTTTTCGCAATTATTTTGCGAATTTAATACCCCTTTCACCTTCATGTTACATTATTAAATTTATGAATTCTCCTACTAAAACTGCAAGCAAAAGTTTTGCAATTTAACTATTTTACTTTATACATGTACCCTCTAAATGGAGTTTTCATGGCTTCTGTTGTTTACTCCAAATATACTGACTGATACTGACTGACTGAAATACGGATGACGCATTTGAGTGCTGTAATATTTGACGTCTACAATCGTCTTCGCAGACTTCAAGCAACACTTGCCTACCTTAAAATCGGTGTGCCTCAGCCCTACCCGAAAAAGTATTCGTGGATGTGCATAAAGAACTAACGCCATCACCACGGATGAGAGATTGAAAAGGGGGAGTTGGTCTGCAGGAGAAACTCCAGGTCCCTCCTCGGCCCTACGAGCGAAGGGAATTTGAAATTGAATCTCTCACCTGTTGGAATCAACCTCCTGTCTGCTTTAATCTTACGGATGCTACGCCTCTCAACTTCCTAGCAGGCAGTGAATCCATTCTACTGACCTCTGTCCTTCCAAAAGACATGCGCGTGGACATGTGCATCTATACCAGTGGTATCCTCCGGCAAAAAAGACGTCAGTAAACCTTACCGGTCAAAGAAGTGCAAGAATTACGACTACTGGAATCGGATCACAGTATCGTTGTTGTTCCCGCCGACAAAAGTGCCGCCACTGTCATTATGTACAAGGTGCGTGAGAGGCCTACACCCCAATCACTGCAGACCTGACGAAGAAGCAAGCTGCAGCTATCAAGGAAAAGAATCAGTGAAATCACTCGTCTGAAAGTCATAAATCCAAATGACCCTCAGCGATCTCCGTATCACACACGCGTATGATCTCCCTGACAAAGTCGATGCCCCACTGAGGATTATGGCACCACCCATCGGACCATCAACTTACGGTATTGTCAAGTAATTGTACAGGCATCTGATGCGACTAACTCATGGATCTGACTACAGCAGTAACAACTCTTACGCATTGCTCCACGGGACTCAAGGCCTCAAAGTAAGCACGGATGAATGCCTCCTGTCTTTTGATGTCGTTGTCTTGTTTTCTTCCATGCCCCACGATTTGGCAATTGAAAGCGTAGCTCAATGCTTACAGGATAATCCGATTGAGATTCCAAACTAGCATGGTATAGAACTGCTCAAACTCTGCCCTAGGAGCTACTGTCAATTTGTCAATATGTATTACCGACAGACTAAGGGGCTCGCCAAAATCGGGACCACTCTCAGAACCAGTAGTGTAGTGTAAACGACAATTAAAGTGGGGGGATGCTGCGTTTCTTACGAGAAGAAGCAAAAAGATGATGGAAAAAGCGGCAAAAGATGAATAATTGTACAGACTCACGAACAGTGAAGCCCTCTCCAAAGGCCGTTGTCGTAGAGTGAATGTTCTGGGTAAAATCGAGAATATGTCGAGCCAAAGGCGGTTACTGAAGCTTGTTGCTCGGGTGAATTCACGTCTAGTTAGATATGACCGATGGATATAAATGTTTCGTGCCGATTGCCTGAAAGCGATTGAGGCGCATGAGTGCAATAAACGGAACAATGACACCAAGCAGCAGACGGACGCAAAAGACACGCTTTTCCTAAGCAAATTTAAACATTGCAGAAAAGATCAGGTGTACAAAGAATTTGAAAGGGACAAATCGAAAATGTACATAAACCCACGGTATTGTAGTGACTTGTAGAAGAGGTTATTGAAAATCCCACGCACAAAATATGGCTTCGATACGTAGATAACACTTTTGTCGCAATAAAGAACTACGAAGTTGAACAACTGCATCGCAGGCTGAATGATGTCTGCCCATTCTTGCGGTCTACCCGTAAAGAGGCAGTAGGATTCCGCCTGCCGTTTATTGACGTGGGAATACAAAGCCTGAACGATGGTTGCCTCGCAGTATGCGTCCATAGGAATAGATCTAATTCCGAGATTTTTCCTAATTATAGAAGCAACCGTACTGCGGCTAACAAGAGAGGCTGTTATCCGAAACCTGTTCCACCGGGCTTACCGTCATCGCAGCAACGACGATCTCTTGTTTACCTGTATTTGTTATTTCCATTTAACGGAAAGGATTGCGTCAGACACCAGACAGAGCCGCACGCCCCCACCCCCAAGTGAGAATTTGTGGCCAAAAGATCATAATCCCTGCCTCATATAGAGGGAACCTCTGAATAACTCGCCTGGTAACTAAGTCGCTTTGATAATCACGCTGTCCACAAGGCAGCACCATCACGAATCAAGGATCCCATTCTAAGAGAGCAACAAACAAGCGTAATTTACCGCATTCCGTGCGCACATTGCTCCTGCGTGAATGTTAGTCATACAGGTGGACGCCTCTATCAACAGCCCCAGTCCAGTGTTTCAGACAGTAGAGCAAGTTTGTCACACAGGATCTGCCTTTTCGGAATCCATGCTGGGGATCGGAAAGCAGATGGTTTTGTTCAAGGAACTACATTAATTGTTGCTTTATTATCTTCTTCATAATCTTGCAGCAAATGGAGGTGTAAGGCTGACAGGTCTGTAATTGTTCACAGAGACCCGACTTCCGCCCTTGTACAGCGGCGTAATCCACGCCGACTTCCAGTCGGGTGGCAGATGTATGGAAAAGCACGGAGAGTGGTTTAGCCAACTCATCGGCGAGTTCCTTCTAAATCTTCGCCGGAATCTCATCGGGACCTGGTGATTTTGATTCCTTTAGCCTCATCAACTCCGTCAGAACCATACCCTCAGTTAACTGAATGGTCTCCATAATTGTGGTGTCCTCAAATGGTTGAAGGTCCAAATGGTTGAATCCTGTTTCACTGCTAAAAACAGACCAAAAAATTCTGAAGGGTGATCAACTTTCGCTCTGTCTTCAGTGAGATGTTCGCCTTCAGCAGTCTTTAGCAGTGGTATTAGGTCCTTGTTCCGCGTGCACTGCTTTATGTAACCGTAGAATAATTGAGGGTTCTCCGCGGCACGGTTAAGCAGATCCCGTTCAAATTCCCTTCTAGTTTTGAGGATAAGGTCATTGACTCGATTTCTTTGAAAACTTTGTACCCACATATAGATGTGGGGCTCGTGTCAGAAAGCGATTTTTCCACAGCCTTCGTTTTTTATTCACTGCATTCTTCAAAGCTTTCGTAAGCCATCGAGGTCTGCTAGCTAAACTCTTCCATGAAAACGGACAGTGGTGTGCGATCAGCTTGTGCAGAATTTCTCGGAACCATTGTCAGTCTTCGAGGAGGCTTCCGACAAATACGAACTCCCACTCAATGCGTGAAATTTCAGCCCTCATTTGGTCGAAATCCCCGCGCCAAAGGTTTCTTCTAATTGTCATGGGTTTCTCGGGTATGGAAAAAAGCGAGTAATCCCATAGAAGAACGACGTGGTCACTTGTACCTAAGGGGGGTAGGCGTAACACCTCATCAATCAGGGCAGTTGTGGCCTGTTGGTCTTCGCGTACTCTAGTAGGAAACATGACGTGTTGTGAGAAATAACTTCGGTGCCGTATTCAGAAAACTCCAATCGAAGGTCTCTTCTGAGCTATTTGCATGGGTCGAGCTCCAGTCAATATGAGACGCGTTAAAGTCGCCCATGATCAGGATATACGGCCGCGTAGCCAACTTTTCAAGCTCTTCCAGCAGGCGAGCGTCGGCCATGTTGTCCCGTCTCGGTGGTCGATAAACTGTCAGGACATCGAGGCTAGGCGAGCTCGGTACTTTACTAGACAGCCAGATTGCCTCGGAAGTACACGAAAATTTATCAGTTTTGTCTGATACATTTATCGCATTTTTCAAGTACGTGATTACGCCTCCTCCCTGACGCCCTTCCCTATCCTGTCTAAACATCTGGTAGCCAGGCAAGGCTAGCTCACGGTCGTCCACGTGTTGCGTCAATCAGGTTTCTGTTAAAGAGATTACGTCAGGGGATAGATTGCAGAAGTGGATCCTCAGCTCGTCGAACCTTGGTAGCAAACTCTGCACGTTGGTGTACAAGAATTTCATTTTCCGGCTGACGGAAGATGTGGTTACATTTTGGTTAGCGCCTTCACTTACTATGTCGGCTGCGCGGTCATTCGGACCGGACCTGTCCAAAGGAAGAGTGACGGACGCCGCCGTACTTGGTTGCCGTATATAACTAAAGTGTCCTCCCACTCGCTGTGCCTCCTTCTTAGTTCCAGAACTAGTTGGGGACGTTTCAACCGTTCCGCTGGCGAGTAGTCCAGTTGAAAAAAAACACCTGGGTTGGAGCCTTTAATCCTGAATCGCCTGGAGAGAATGAGACTGGCTTGGTCGCTGCTGGCCAGCACAACTTTAAGAGGTCGGGAAGGAATCGACACTGATGGATTATCTGCTCGTTTTCCAAGGCGGAAGGCTTTAATCACTTCAATAGCCTCAGCGGGTTCCAAAATATTATTGAGAAGACCTTAGAAGAGTGATAGGTCTTCCGAAACCCGCTCCTTGGGAGTATTTGCACTTGAGCCAGGGAGCCCCTGAATAATAAGACATTTTTTCTCGGTCGGTTTCTTTTTTATTTTCTATGGAAGTGTGGTTACTGAAATGACGTAACGCTCTGGGACAATGCACTGGTGATGGTGGCGCAGATGCGATTACGCCGTCTGTTTGTTTGAGTCTTAGGTCAGTATAGGTCAGTATATTTTAAGAGTAATAGGCAATGCCTTTGAAAACCCTATTGTAAACGGTACATGCAATATCACACTATAAATAAACACGGTACTGTAATGTTGTCATCCCAGTCCACTGCCGATAATTCCCTTCTCATGGCGGCAAAATCTCCTCGCCAGAAATGCAGTCTAGGCTCAGTCGAATTCGCTTGTTGGCTGCATAGGCGGTATTCCCAAAACAGCATGACATGGTCACTCTTACCGAGCGGTGTTATGGACCTAAGTTCGCCAGGGCTAATCGGGTCTTTTGTAAGGACGAGGTCCAGACAATTTGCTCTTTGGTCCGCTCTGATCCTGGTTGGGAACGTGACGTTTTGTACCAGAAAGAGATTAGCCGTTAGTTTCAAGAGCCTGGAATCAAACGAATTTCGCGAACCATTTACTAATAAATTGTTCCAGTCGACCATGGGTGCGTTGAAATCTCCGGTTATCAGTACCTCTTGGTTTTGTGACACCTCTTTAATTAGCCCAAGCATCGCCTCGTCAACCTCATCAGTTTGATTGGGTGGCCTGTATACGGTCAGGAAATTCAAATTAGGTGCGCCACGCATCCTCAGTTTTAACCACATTGCTTCACAGTCGCCGGAGCAATGGGTTTGTGTTCCGACGCGATGATTGCTCTCTTGACGTAGACCGCTATTCCTCCTCCTTTTCTATGCAGTCTGTCCCAGCGAAAAAGTTGGTATCCCTCAAGTGTTATTTCGGCATCCAAGACTTCGGTCTGGAACCAAGTCTCTGTGATTCCAGACCGAAGTCTTGGATGCCGAAATAACACTTGAGGGATACAAACTTTTTCGCTGGGACAGACTGCATATGTTGACAACCTTGGAAGAAGCGCTTGGCAGAGAAGACTGTGAATAGAGCTCTGTGGCTTCGATGGATGAAGCGATTCCACCACTCGTACTAGGTCTATCAAGCTCGGACTGTTTCGTAGAATCAGCAAAGGTGTTTGGACACACAAGATTTGACATGAGGGACGGAACGTCCGTCAATGTCTCTGTTTCGGCCTCTACAGAGGCATCTTCCGGAAGTAGCCGTCCGTTTTCCTTGGCTTTTTTACAGTTTGATTTATTTTTCTCTTCAGTCTTTGGGCTTCTTTTCTGGCCGTTATTTTATCGCTTTCAAGCTATTCGCTTTGGGGCTGCCGTAATAGATGCCGGCGTGCCTATTATTCTGGGAGATTTTGCCCTACTTCTGGTTACTCGTCCAGTAGGCATATTGGTAGCGTTAGCTTGGTCTAGACTGCATCGCAACTGGGCATTCATCTTTGTAATTTCTTCCTCAAGATAGTTAACCTTGACGTCCAGAATCTGGCATCCACTGCAACTTCGGCCTGCATTTTCTGCGTCTATACAGTTAAGGAAACTGTGTGATATCGCTCGCCGCCGAGCTGCGGTGGCCGGGGGATTAGCGCAGTTGAGTGAGGAAGGGGTGATTGCTGGATCGACTCCACGCTCCGGCCCTATACTTTGGACGCCAGTGAGTATTTCAGTCATGCCGTGAAGTTATGGAAAATGAGCAAGCCGCAGGACTAGAAGAAAAAAACGTCGCCTAGGGCCAAATAGGGAAGACTGTGCGTATGGTTGGGTTTGTCGGAGAATTTCAAGAATGCAAGCCCTGGAGGACTTGCTAGCTAAGACTTTTTGGTAATATGCCAAGTGTAAAAATCTAAGCAACTCAATGGGCAGTGTAGAAATTATCGACTGAGCCTTTAGTAGGTCCTGTTCCAAAGGTACGTTGGACAGTTCGAGACATAATGTAGGATTTCTAGGCTATGTTGTCTAGGCTCAGATTGCCAGAAGAATCGCCAGGTTTGCAGAAAATTGTCCTCGTCGTACGATGAGGGCAACAATGACAGCAAGGTTGAGGGTAGTAAACAACAATGCGTCTTGGAATCCAGTTTCTGATGCAGAACCAACTGTTTCCAGTGTGGAACTGGATTGAAAATGTCTTTCTTGCTCCTCAAAATTCAAACCGCGCGGGGTCAGTTGTTGTTGCCATGTGCAGCAGTCAATGGAAGTTGATAAGGTGCGCCAGTCTTCGAGCATTTCCCTGGCTGTCTGGTCGATACCTCGGCCTAGGATTTCGGCGTTCTGGAAGGCAGAAGTGTGCCCAGAGGCAGCACAGTGTTCCGCCACCAGCGAGAGCTGGTCCATCCTTCTCGCAGTCCTTGCGTGCTCACTCATGCGGGTCTGTGGTCGTTTTCCGGTCTCTCCAACGTAGTTTGCCTCACAGGAACTGCACTTGACACGGTAGACTACACCCGCTGTTTCGCCTCGTGACAGAGGGGCCTTGGGTCTCATGATGAGACGTTTTATTGTCGCCTCAGGTCTGTGGGCGACGCCGACACCCAGTGGTTGTAAGAGACGAGCGACTGCCTCGGGTACGTTCTTGATATACAGTAGTGCCCGTCACACTTTTGGTTGTTCTGTCGTTAGCCGTACAACTTGCTTAAATTGTCGGGTGCGATATATGAAGCTGCGAGGGTAAACGTTGAAGGTGAAGGTCCGCCGAAAATAATAGATATCGGCTGCATTTTTCGTCTGCCTGGCTGTAATGAGTTTCCCCCCTCATGTATAGAGTTCGAAGACAGCTATGTTTGTGGCACAACCCGAAATCTCAATGAACATTCGAGTCGAGGACAATCGATCACTGTGGAATAACCACGTAATGTCCTTTCTTCAAACGAGTAGTACTACAAGTTGTAGTAATTTTGGGGAGGACGAAATATACGACCCAAATTTGCACATTACTTGCTACTAACTACAGACACTAGCTAAAGTGGTGTTATCTAATCTGGCCACACTGATTGCCTTTTTTCAAAATAACATCAATTTTCGCTTAAATATCACATTAAGCATATCTGTAGGTTGGTATGCACGCCGATTTCGTAAAGTCAAAAACTGTGCGACAAAAAGGGGCGCTAGATTCAGTTGCAAGCAAAATGTAGTTATAAAAGGGGTACCCGAATCAACGGCAACAATTCCAAAGGAGAGAGTTAAACATGACATAGACCTTCTTCAATTGTATGCGAAATCTTTGCTCAGAGACGGTGAGTCACTTGATGACATTCCCAGATCACCATGTGCCTTCCAACCCGTGTATGTGGCAACAGTAGACAAACACTCTAAACAGGTCGTGGATCAACGGCTGCCGGACCGGATGGTGTCTCGGCTTTTCTTCTTAAATCTTGTTGTTACTACATAGACCCTATGTTAACGCACCTTATTAACATGTCTTGCATGGAGTCCAAGATTCCCCACGCCTGGCGTATGGTGAGAATCACTCCCATCCGTAAAAAAAAACCAGCTAATTTTGGTCCTAAATCTTTTCGTCCAATTGCCTGCACCTCCGCACTACTAAAGCTTGTTGAAAGAGTTGTCCTAAATATTAGAAAGCCTTTTTCTTCCAGTTTTTCTGACCTTTTACAATTCGCATACAAAGCCAGGCGCAGTACTTTAGATGCTGTTGCTCTTATGGTCCACTCTGCTCTAAAGATGGCTGCCGCGAGTACGCATGCGCTTTGCTTTACTACTCCTCCGCCTTCAACACCGTCCCGCGCCCTCTTCTCCTTACCAAAACATCGCGTGCGGCTCTGCAGGCTGGGTCGTCACTTAGCTTAGCGATTATTTTACTTCCCGATCTCGATTGGTCCAATCTGGCAAGCGAAAATCTATGGTCCTCCCCAATGACTGCGGGGTTCTTCAAGGTTCCATTCTATCCCCTCACCTATTCTCCCACCGCACCGACGCTCTAAGATCCCCTAATGACTGTCTTTTGGTTAAGAATGCTGATGATGTGATTATTGAACACCCTCAAATGTCAGACACCTCCATTCTCTGAAGGATGGCCTAAACCATGTCCTAGTATGGTAGAAGGAGAATGGTCTCCTAATGAACAACCAAAAATCAGTTCAGTGTATTTTCCGACCGCGGCCCTCTCTTAGTCCTGGATTCTCTTTCATCCTTCCTAACG